AAGTCCAAGTTTGGTCCCAGTTTGAATTAATTCCCTTCAAGGCTCTCACAGACTCAGAGGCATAAAAACAGTGGCCAAAGCTACAAAAGTTGTAGTTGTGGAGAGCCTACTTATGGTTACATCATGTTAAAATTCTTCACAATGCACACGATGGGATTTGTTTTCATTTGATTTGATGCTGAATGCTTTATTGCATTTGGTTTCACCTCTGTTGGTGATCTAACCCTGTTGTTCTGAGGGCTGCTGCACAAGTGCTCGGGTACATTTACCCAGTAGTCGAAGTTGAAAGTGCCACTATTATCCCAGAGTGGATGAAACCGTAGGCCTCATTGCCCCTGGACTAATGGGGTCTTATTTCAGGCCTGAGCACTCCTATCCAGGGCGATATCAGAGATATGGTCACTGCACCGCACACCGTCGTCTAAAGGCGAGGAAGTATTGAGATACACTGTAATACTAAGTGGATTATCCAGACCATTTACAGCGGCTGTGGCTGTTGCCTCCGAGTGCCAGCTCTCCAGCTTTATGGCCTTGTATTTCCATGGCTGGATTAGTGCACGGGGGAAGCTGAGTTGTGGTTCCCTCGCTGGTCCTGGCCAGTGCTGGAGGTACTCGCTGACTACTCTATAGCAGTTTCATGTCAGCTATAAATTCAACTGTAAAAGGCAGAGTAAAGGAGCATTAAATGGGTCAGATGTTTAACTATAGCTGGATCAGGTGTGTGATCTCTGTTAACGGTGTGAGGGTCTGAGTTATAAGGTCTGAAATGATGCCCAGTGTCTGAGCCCAAACACAAAAAAACTGGAGGATTTTTAAATGTGGATTTGAATTCAATTATAGTCATAATCTGCTCAGTTGTCTTGCATGGAAAACTTTTCAGGGGGTTTGGATGCAATTTTCTTTTCCAGGATAGTTTCCTGCTCCGTTCGGTTCGGACTCGTAGGATGTTCATTGGACTTGAGAAAGAACAAAATGAAAGGAGGATTTTCTTTTTTTTTGTCCCAGACAGTATCATTATGTCTTCAGCAGAAAACCTCATGGCTGACCCAGATAAGAACTCTCACCGCTACGCTGCTCGCAGAAACAACTGCACTTATTTGACCCTCATTGAGTCACTGTGGCACTGTGCAGTTTATTGTTCTGGTATTCAAGCCACGATAAGCCTCCCAGCACTCGCGTCCTGGTTCTCTCTCGCCTTGACTTGTGAGGAAGGACCTGCCAGTCTCATGACGTCATAGATGAGATGAGAGGGGCTGCGATGTGTGAAGAGATAATTTGAAATCATGAGCACCATCATTCTAAAGTCCGTTTGTTTGGAACAGTTTATTTGGTGTTAAGCCCGATGATTGTGCCGTTAATGTCCGTTTGATTAACAGACCTGGGCAGCGAACGCACAAACGGACGGGCCGAGTCAAAGCTGAAAGTGGACGTGTTTGAAACAGCAAAGTGCCGAACATCCTCTCGACTTTAAACGCCTCTTCTTCTTGCCTCTGCCTCTGTTTGTTTTTTCCGCGTTACTCAGCAACTTCTGCAACACAGCCTCCCTTATTTTAGTCCTTTCTGGAAATGGTCCTTTATTACAGAAACAAACTTTTGTTTTTTTTATCACCTAACTCATAAACAGTGCTTTTTTTTTTTTTTTTAAAGTCGGGATTGCAGCTGTAGTGCCAAGTTTTTGTCTGACAGCAAAATGGAAAACAGGTCGAATTAACATCAAACAAGCTTCCTCAAATAGAACCTTCCAGTTGTTTGGCCTCAGTGTTACAAGTCTGCTCTTTACAATTACTACCACTGTTGTTTTGCACCCGACGCCCTCGTGTCAAAGTTTTAAAAAGTGCATATTCTTTCTTTGTTTATTTCTTAGCAACAACACACTATGGGGTTCTCTGGAGGAGCCAAACATCGTGAACACCAACGAGTTTGAGGAGTTTTTCTCTAAAGCCACGCTACAGCCCAAGAAGAAGCCGCTGTCGGACACCTATGAGAAGAAAGCCAAACCTAAGAAGGTAAATCCACTTGCAACACTCGCCCCGTTGTAGTCTATTTTCTCTATTGTTGCAGTTTCTGTTGCTGTGCTTGCACATTTCGCCATCTGAGGCCACGCTTTCTTATCTCGCTTTGTTTAAACGAGGCTTCTCGTCTGCCGTCATCTTCGGTCATAAATTCCCCAAAGAAACGGCAAAAGGTGAACCCGCAAAGAAATGGATTGTGAGTTTCGTCAAGTCCTCCTCCAGACTGTTGCCTGCCAGGTCGCGCTCTGGGCCAACACAGGCTATCAGGTTCACTCCCTCGTGTGTGTGTTTTATTTTATTTTGTTCTTTTTAAACTCCCTCTGGGTAAGCTACCCTAGTGTAGCTGTGCAGGATTAATAAAGGTTTTTTTGTTTTTTACGATTTGCACAAGCTTCAAGTTTTGAAAGCAAAAGATGCTCCCTCTGCCAGATTGATCTACCATTCCCACCTCTCGCCGATGTCCGGTCGAATGCTGCAACTCGGCACTTCTCCTGCAGCCAGCGCTGTGTCAGCATCCTGGCTGCCTCGCGGTGCTCGCTGTGGCGTCCAAGCAGTTAAAAATCGGCCACTGCCCCAGACTTTCCCCGCTAAATCCATACACATCCCCCGTTCTGATCAATCTGCGGAGGCTCCACTCTGCTCCACAGGGCCTGCGATGTGTGCTCATGTGTGTGTGTGCCTGATCTCCATCCCTCGATCTCTCCGTTGGGTCACTCAAAACTAGTCCAACATTTGATCCAACTCAGACAGCCACATCCAGACACAGATCTCGCCAACTGTCTCCTGTCTGGGCTTACATCAGCGTGGAGGATGTGGAGTTCTGACCCCACTTATGGAAACACTGTTTTCATATCAATCACAAAAACTCCACATTTAGTGTGTTTGCAGAATTCAAAAGAAAGGATCTTCACGGCACGCTGGCTTTGGTTGTTATCTATGTTTGGACATTTTGTTCCCTGTGCTGTGATCATGCTGTAGTTTTATATTTAGCATAAAGGTCTGCGTTTAGAGCCGGGGAGAGCGTTCAGATTCAGGATCGAAGAGCAATGGTTGTTTCCAGTCTGCCTGCAAGTCCCGCTGAAGAGGTCATCAAAATAATAGAAAGTTGTTTACGTAATCATTTTTTATTCCTGAGAGTTTATACTCTCCGTGAAGGGGAGAGAAATCATTTGAGAGAGTAATCATCTGAATCGCCAGCTGACGATCGCTTCCAAGAAGTTCAGCTGGTTAACGGGTGGGAAAAGAAAGGAAGGGAAGGCGAAGAACAAAGAGAAACGGGGAGGAATGGATAAGAGCGGGATTGAAGACTAGCTGCTACTGAGTAGAGGGCAAATGGATCAAAGAGGGGGCACTTTATGGGGAAGAGAGAGTGAATAAAGACAAATGAAATGGTGGAAAAAGAGGAGGAAAGGGGAGGCCACTCAACGACCAATTTGCAGAAAGTAAAATGTTGGACTTCACTGGAGGGCAAAAGTGCTTCAGAATAAATTTTGTTTATCGTTAGTGCTGTGGGAGGCTGAAGGTAGTTTAGAGTAGCCTGTTAGATGTTGGAGGCAGTATTGTTGGAATGGGAGTGCAGCATTGGTTATGAACAACATGGTATCAGATGATAATTCACAGAAGAGCAGCTGCTGTTTTTTTAGGCGTTCTTAGAATAAGATGTGAAACTACTTTCTTCTTTTTCTCGGTGGTGCAAAATATAAGGCAGGTCGTAATTTGTCTTCAATATCTTTCTCTCATGTTGTCCTTATTATTCAAGTCAGAAGCTTTTTCACCTGCACCAAACAGCTTTTCTTTTTGTTAGATATCGTATTACATTTATTTAAGTTTCTTTTATTAGTTTGTTTTCCCACTTTATTTAACCAGGAGGTCCCTTAACATTAAAATCTCTTTTTCAAGTTAGACCTGGTCCAGAAAGCTCACATCTTTAAAGCTGAAAATGATCAAATCAAGCATCATAACAACAGACGTGGTACAAAAAGTCAGTATATTAAGGCTCTGAACTCCGAGCAGTTTCTAGGATTAGTTTTTTTCTCACTGTGGGCTGCAAAATATAACCCCATACCTTTATGAAAACAGCACAACCATGGCTCGTAGAAGGACCTCAGAATGTGTCTGTGCAGTGGAACACAGTTTATTGCCCCAAATATTTTTTTTATTTTTATTTTTTCAAAGAAAGAAGAAAATGAAAGTTGTAAAACTTGAATCAATATGTACACCAGTTCTTCAAGTACCCACAGTTATATCCTACATATTATAGATATTCTACCACATGACATTTGAATCTGTTTCCATACTTGTCCTCCATCTGCTCGTTGTACAGACAAAAACCTTTGAATGTTTGCTCCATGACTGTTGGTTGCAGCTGAATCACTAATGACTTCATGGTCGCACCGAGGAGCAGAGAATTTTATTTATTTGTTTATGTTCAGAATGTGGTTAATTAAACCCATTTATTGTGGGGGATTTCTTTTTTTTACGAGAATTTTTAAACGCTACATGTAGAATAAGAGTGATTTTGATCAAATATGATGATGTTGAGCTTAGATTTGTTTAACTTTCCTGACAGGAATACCTGCTACAGATGAATAGTGACAGGACTGCTGGAAAGTTGACAATCTGTCGATTGTTTCTGTTTTCACAGTTTCTGGATCCCATAAATGATGTAATTTAAGCTTTAAAAAAAAATAGCATGCCTTCTAAACTTGTCGGCAGGTTTTTGGGTTCAGAGGGTTTAAACAATAAAGGGACCAAAGGTACATAAAACAAAACCCAGCTTAGGAAAAGTAATTGCAGTCTTCAGTTACTGGTGTTTTGATCAGAGCTCCTTTACCCAGGGAGACAAAATCATTAAGCTGCAGCGCGTTTTGAGGGTTATTTCAGGACTAGAGCACCGAATAGGAGAAGTTCAGAGCAAATCCTGGACACCCTGCAGAGCAGCCATTTAAATGAGCAAGAATCATAACAGCTGTTGGTAAGCGATAGAAAATTACCAAAGTGAGAAGGGAATCTATTCCATATTGCTTTGTAAATAAAAACGGACCAGTGCTGCTGGCTACTTAGGCTCAATAAAAACCAGCTCATTAAGTACACGGGACAGTGAGTTGAATATAAAAACTTAGAGAGCTGTGATACACGAGTGAAGGCAGCAAAGTGTGTCAGCGTCCATATAAATAATATGCTGATAGTCTCAGACACCTAAAAGTGGAGCCTATATGAGCGTCTTCCTAACTACTAAATTAAAATAATCACTACTCTGATAATAAACACCCAGCTTAACCTTGAACCACCATTCATAGTACCACACAATTGTTCTCATTACCAATTAATTGACTGCTTATTTTATAATTAATAATCTGATGTCATAAAAGTTCAGTAACAAATGAAATATTCACATTTCCTTTGCAAACATTTATCAAAATAGTTGTGATTAATTTTACCAAACAACTAACTGATTAGGAAACTAATTCCTTCAGTATCACCTTTAAGTGATGGTTGATACAGGAAATAATTAGGATTATTTTAACAATTCTCTAACAGACAGACTTTTATAGAATACGTTGTTATTTCCTTCATTTCGATTGGCTGTTTTTCTTTAATCATCTGTGGCAGCTGCTCTTGAACTTTTCTCTAAGTTGGAGTATGTTGTTGGATAAATCTGTGTCAGTAAAAATCATCTTTTCTGCTTATCTGATTCTTTAAAGGTCCAAGATTTCCAATTTCATTGTGTTTTGTGGTTGTTATAAACTAATAAACATTTACTTCTACCATTCCTCGAGCTCCTACACGACTAGACAGCCTCCCAGGTTTACAAGAGTTTTGCTGAGCTGCTACATAACAATCATCTTGCTCAAACTTTTCATAATCCTGCCCCCTGCTTCCCTCCACTGGGTTTATTTCATTTCTGGAGGTGCTAATGCTAACTCTAAAATCAGCCATGAGTAAAATACAGCAAATGTTCTGCTGTTGGCTGTAAGAGTGAACACAAAAGTCTTCATGCACTTCCAGCATCTTTGGAACTAAAGACTCTGTGGTTCACTTTTTTATCTTTTCAAGGCAATCTCCCCACAACAATAGGAAAATCCTCAGCCGCATTAGCTGCACAACGTGCTAACACCATTAGCTTTGATCGTATAACCGCAGGTCAGAGCTCATCGGGGTGTAATACTGAGAATCAGAAATGGTGGAAGCCTTAAGACAAATTTGATCTTGTCATTCATTTCGTGTCCACACTTAATGCATCTTAATATCGTCAGAGTCCCAATCAGGCTGTTCTCACTCACAGGTTTTTTCAGTTTTAGTTGTCAGATAACAGAAGAGTTTCAAACAGTGACTGAAACGCAGCCCATTAAGACGACGTGGTAACTGGCCGTCACTTCAGAGGCATTTTCAGGCTCTGCACAGCTAAACTGCTGATTCTATAACCGCGATGTTGTCTCACCACACACAAGATGAGTTAAAAACAACAGCTGTGCAGGGAATTTAGCAATATTTCCATGTAAAGTGATCACTCAGAGAGGAACATTCTGGTCTCATCATTTCCGTCTGCATCAGCTGCCGTGTTTGTCAACCGTTTTGTTCCGTGTTGTAAATCACAGACGCAGAGAGAGTCTTCTTCCTGAAGACCTTCCTGTTTAGGACAAACCACAGATTGTACAGCCGAGGTAAAAGGAACCAGTGTTTTTGAGCTGAAACATTGAAAGACACACTGTAGGAACATGTGAAACGTTCATAAATTTGCAGAAAAGAGTCACAATATGGGACCTTTAAAGTATTCTTCCTGCATCTCTTTGACATTTTATAAACGTGTGCTCGGTTTAGAGTTGTCGGGCCTCGACGTGACCGTTGTACTCGGCAGAATCTGACCAGACAGTCGTCCCTGTTCGACAACCAATACCAGTCGACACACATGCAGACTACCTGCCTCCTGTCTCCGTCAGCACACACTGGATGCATCTGATGAAGAACAGTGTGCTTCTCATCTGTGTGTTTGTGTATACGCCGCCATGTGTTGTATTGTTTTTTTTTTTGTTTTTTTGTGCGTGCGCGTGTCTGCGTGCGTCAGCGGACGTGTGCGATGACAGCACGTCCTCGCGAGTCATTATGCACTTGCTCAGAAAGTGTTGCCAGATCATGCTAACACCACAGCCCAGGGCTCTGTGCAGCGAGAGGAGATGAGAGGGTGGGAAAGGAATGTGTGTGTACATTATGCATATGAGCCACTTCCCCGCTTTTCCGACAACTCCCAAAAAGTTTCAACTCGGGGGATGCAGCCGATGCCTACATGAGTGCGTTAATCTTTATCATGTGTGCCATAGAAAAATCAAAGCTCTTGTTTACTCTGGAGCCCTTCTCTCTCCTGCTGATTAGCATATCAAAGCTGAGGAGATGACATGGAAGAAAGCTCTCCCCACCAGAGCAGACCGGACTCGACTGGACCGGGGGTATAATTGCACGCATGTGGCTTCACTCCACCGGCTAGAGGAGTCAATGAAGACGGGGCATCTATAAGAGTTTGGGGAAGGGGGGGAGGGGGCAGAGGATGGGTATGTGGGTGCATTTTTGAGAGATGAGGAGGGAGGAAGGGAGAGAAGATGAAGAAATCACTTTAGCAGAAGTGCTGCTGAGTCTGTGCAAATATGCACATCAGTAAACACAAAAATTGCTATTTCATCTCCACGCGTAAATCAAAACTGTATCAAGTTTATACATGGTAAATCTCCTTAAACAAACAGCGGCTTTAACTGGTTTATGGGAATAACTTATGAGCAATCACCGAACGTTTATTAAAGACATATTTGAAGTCGTGGATATGACGTGGGAGAGTGGGCGTAAGATTAACACTGCTGGGCGAGATGGGAGGGGGGGCTGTTCAGTGTATCGCAGGTGGTTATTGATGGGAAGTCTTGATCCAGTTGTTATTGTAACATCTGCCCGGGTGATTCCAGACAGATAGTCAGACAGACAGTCATTGCAGAGCGCGCTGGCCGCTCAGCCGTGGCTGTGTAAACTATCTGAATCTGCATCACCCAGCCCACATCGCCCAAAAAACCAGCCACCTGGTTCGGCTCAAGGCTCTGACACTCCCAGTGTCTCCTTCCATCACTTTGTTTATTTTCTTTGGCTCCTTGCGTTTTCTCTCTCTCTTTCTTTTCTTTGTTATCCAACAGCAGTTTCAAATAAGAGTGCAACCAGTTCTCTCGGCGTCCACAGGAGGGCGCCATTAGCTATTGATGCCTACCTGTCTCAGCATCAGCATCGCCACGGCTCCCTCCGCCTACCCGAGCTGTTTGCGTGTCTGAAAGCAACCGTCCAGCATCAGTTGTCTTTTCTCATTAACTTAACTGTTTAGGCTAATGGGCGAGTTCTGCAGCCACGGTGAGCGGGGAATGGTTCCTGGGCTGCTTTTAGTGTGGCCCGTCCAAACCGGTTAATTAGAGGTGTTGGGAAAGCCTGGTACTCAGCCGTCTCAAGTCCCCAGAGTGGGAGATCCCCAGTGATCCAGGTAATAGAGCTGGAAGCAGCATGGCACCCACTAACGCCCTGTAATGCAATACCCACTTCTAAGGCTTCTGCTCTCCAGCTCCCACTGGACAGCCCAGTAGCCGACAACGCCATAATACCTAATGAAGAAGCCTGACACATTAACTTTTAGAGCGGGGCTTTACCTTGCCAAAACTTTCTCTGGCTTTACGGCTAATTCAGTCATAAGTAATTGTGACCATGTGTAGGCACAAATAAAAATCCTGTGAATTTATAGTTTGTTATAAAAGCCCTGCTTCTCTTCGCCTTGCTCTTCTAGACTGTCCTTTTATGGTGCCACTTTTGCCTTTGTACTTTCACTGCGACTTGATATTTTTTGATTATATCTCACATGTGTTCTTGGGTAAACTGGAGGAGGTGCTTTTTCTGTTTGACTTTGTTCCCTCATTGATGTAACTTGACAAAGTGGGTCCCAGCTATGTGTGTGTACGTGTGTGTGTGCTCCACATTTCCCATTTGTTTGCGTCACGGTGATGGACGATCATAACGAGTGTTGATTAGTTCGGCCGCTCGGGTCGATCCAGATGATTCGCAGGCTGCTTTGACTAACTGGGGCTTCGGGCGCTCTGTCTCGCTCATCATCCGTCGTCTGCTTCCACAATCTTGGAGGAGATTGAGCTTTACCTGCAAGATCATCGCTGAAATTGACTTTTTTATTAACTGTCTCTTCCTCAGTTTGTTATATGCAGTGTTTGAATAACACAGCTGATTATAGATATCTGTGTAAAGGAATGTAGGGTGTAAATTGGGGTAAAGACATTAATAGTTGCTGAATCTGAAACCAAATTCTAAATAATAGGTAATCATTCCAATAATCTAAAAATTGAATATTCTGTATTTGCAATTTTATCAGCTGCTATTCAAATTGTATGTTTTGCTCTGTGTCCTATAATATCCCATCTATACACCACTTTATCCTCATTAGGGTCACAGGGGGGCTGGAGCCTACGTCCTATAATGTGATATTTAAATCTTAGCAATCTGAATTGTTTTCTGTTTTTTCTAGATCATCAAGCTGCTGGATGGGAAGCGCTCACAGGCGGTCGGCATCCTCATATCAAGCCTGCATCTGGAGATGAAGGACATTCAGCAAGGTGAAAGACACGTTCTGATGTCAGCCTGTTTAACACATCACAATATCATTTTTCTGTATTTCAAGGGTGAAGCTTATATTTTGATTTGTGAGTAATAAACTGAATTTACTTTCAGTAAAATGAGGATGGCTCCAGATGAAACGCAGACGGGCTTGTTTTTAGTGATGAGATAGAAAATCCTGCAACAGAAAATAATTCTCGACATCTTGACAGCTGCTAATTTGTAAATTGAGAGCCTTTTTTTGGGGGATTTAGTTTTATTTCGAGTGGAATGTGGATGATTTTTCCAGCTACCGCAGTGGGAAAGAAAATACCTCGATTTGTCGAAATGGGAAATGGCAACGTTTGGATAAAAGCAGTTTTCCTGTCAGGCCTCCTACACTGCTTAAAATCAAATTCCCTTCTCCTTCATTTACGGAGTTGCGTAGATTGATTGCACGCTTAGTTGTTCTGTGGAAAATGCAGGCCTGTGTGTGTGTGTCTGAAAGGCTGCATGGGTGTGTAAACGCACATTATGTGTGTTGGGGACATCGTAGATGGGCCAGGAATTAGTCCTGTCCTGGGACTGTGGCGGAGAGTGCCTGCCGCCTGCTAGTCTGAGCATGCGGCCAGCAGATCTGTTTATTGTAGCCAGTGACGGTTTCCACAAGCCTAATGGGACTGACACCCCACTAATGATCTAAGCATGTACGAAACCACCTTCCACAGTTAGCAGACACTGCGCTACCACATAAAACCACCTCAAACACAAGCCAAGAAGCACATACATCGGGAAGACCATCTTGTTTAGATTTTTTTTTTTTTCCCCCCTTTCCCTTCCATGTCAGTCTCTCTGTTCCACTTGTGGAGGTGGTTTGGTAAAAAAAAGGCCTGTTCACACCCAGCGTGAGGCTGCTTCCTTGTGCCTTAATGGGAGGTGTATGTGAAATGGACAATTTGAATCTGACAATGAAGGACAGCACCTTAATAAGCACTTCTAAGGGCTCTAGTCCCTTGCCTCGCCTGCTTGCCTCCCCTTTGTTGCCAAATTAAAAGGACATGGTACATGTAATGTAATTACAGCTACGAGGGAGGGAGGGAGAGGGGAGGAGGGGAGTGGAGAAGGCAGCACTCTGGTTAAGAGAGAGGGGGTCAACTGCACCCCGTCCAAGTGACTGGGGGACCTCAAGGGCCACCATGGTTCAAGGGCAACGGGAGGCTCTCCCCCACACACCAGCTCACCGCACGCACACAAACACACACACATACACATGAGTGAGAAGTGGAGGGAGAGGGTGTGAGGCCGTTGGCAGGCAGGCTTTGATCTGTCGGTGTGGAGAGATATCCGGCTCCCCTCGGATCAGAGTGCTCCTGTGCACACTGGAGCAGGCCCCCCTTTGGTGTGTGATTGACGGCTGCATGGCTGAGGGACTGAATAATCCACTCTAATAAGATGTAGGAAATGGACCTCCAGCGTTTTCGCTAAACCAGACACAGGGACCACATTGACAGCTTCTCTGCAACAGAACAGCTGGGAACCAGCATGCAGAGTATTACCTTGTTAGCTGGAAGTAGTGTGAGATTGGAAAGACTCGAACCAAAACACCACACTTTTTATATTGCTGTTGAAATGTTTGGTATTTGAAGTATCATACATGAACTGTGTGTTAATATAATGCAGCTAAAAGTTAAAAATATGATTTCAGTCCTCATTTAAGTTAACAAACAAGACAAGGCAATCATTAGAGCATCTTCTTTTAAATTTAGTTTGAGCATTTTGTGCAGAAGCTGTAATGTCACAAGTTATAAGAGAAAAAAGAAAAACGGATTTCTTTAATAATTTTGCAAAAATCAAGGTTTTTCTCACATGAATGTTGTTCCCAGTTGAGTCATTAATGGGGGTAAAGGTTTTTTTTTCAACAAAATCTGGAGCAAAGGTTTGGCTTTTAAATAAGACATGTTGAATTGAGTGAATTTGACAAGACATCATGATTTTAAGCTTTAGCTAATTATTCCAATAGACGTGCATGTGATGGGACAAGAAAGTTAATAAATCTGCTGGTTCTTTGTCTTTACAGTTTCTGGCTGATTTGGGGTTCAGAGGGTGAAAATCATTTTAGGCTTTAATCCTTTTACTGGATAATCTTTGAAAATGGACAAGAAATATCCACAGATTGATTTTACTTTTTTATTTTTTGGTACGGTGGTCTGTGCCACAACCATTTAGCCATCAGTCATCTCATTATCCCAGATGAGACAATAGAAACCATTTAGAAAGCATGACCAAGCTTTGGTATCGAGGAGTAAATTTACAGTTCAGGTTTCTTCTCCTGAAAATCGTGTAGCGAGATAAGTCTTAATGAAAACTGTCTTGTCACACTGGGTAGCAGCATTAGAGGAAGTATTTGGACAATAATAAAATACATTAAGTCCTGCATCCAGAAAGTTGCTTAAGTAAAAGTTTTTAAGCAGATAAACTCCACCTCTCTGATGTTTTTGTATTGTAATTACTGCTGTAGATTTCCAAAGGTCAGCTCATCTTAACTACTTCCTACAACACTGGTTAGTTGAATCCACAGTATTGCATCACGTTTCCTCCATCACTGCCCTGTTAGAGCCACATATCTTTTAAAGGTCAGCTTGTCGTAAGATAAATAGCCTCGTTCGCAGCTCCGTGATGATGCACTGTTCAACTAATCCGAGAGAAATTTTTTTTAAAAAGTTTATTTAGTTTAAGAAGTGGGAAGTCTTTTCTCAACCCACANTAAACTTGTCGGCAGGTTTTTGGGTTCAGAGGGTTTAAACAATAAAGGGACCAAAGGTACATAAAACAAAACCCAGCTTAGGAAAAGTAATTGCAGTCTTCAGTTACTGGTGTTTTGATCAGAGCTCCTTTACCCAGGGAGACAAAATCATTAAGCTGCAGCGCGTTTTGAGGGTTATTTCAGGACTAGAGCACCGAATAGGAGAAGTTCAGAGCAAATCCTGGACACCCTGCAGAGCAGCCATTTAAATGAGCAAGAATCATAACAGCTGTTGGTAAGCGATAGAGAATTACCAAAGTGAGAAGGGAATCTATTCCATATTGCTTTGTAAATAAAAATGGACCAGTGCTGCTGGCTGCTTAGGCTCAATAAAAACCAGCTCATTAAGTACACGGGACAGTGAGTTGAATATAAAAACTTGGAGAGCTGTGATACACGAGTGAAGGCAGCAAAGTGTGTCAGCGTCCATATAAATAATATGCTGATAGTCTCAGACACCTAAAAGTGGAGCCTATATGAGCGTCTTCCTAACTACTAAATTAAAATAATCACTACTCTGATAATAAACACCCAGCTTAACCTTGAACCACCATTCATAGTACCACACAATTGTTCTCATTACCAATTAATTGACTGCTTATTTTATAATTAATAATCTGATGTCATAAAAGTTCAGTAACAAATGAAATATTCACATTTCCTTTGCAAACATTTATCAAAATAGTTGTGATTAATTTTACCAAACAACTAACTGATTAGGAAACTAATTCCTTCAGTATCACCTTTAAGTGATGGTTGATACAGGAAATAATTAGGATTATTTTAACAATTCTCTAACAGACAGACTTTTATAGAATACGTTGTTATTTCCTTCATTTCGATTGGCTGTTTTTCTTTAATCATCTGTGGCAGCTGCTCTTGAACTTTTCTCTAAGTTGGAGTATGTTGTTGGATAAATCTGTGTCAGTAAAAATCATCTTTTCTGCTTATCTGATTCTTTAAAGGTCCAAAAATTTCCAATTTCATTGTGTTTTGTGGTTGTTATAAACTAATAAACATTTACTTCTACCATTCCTCGAGCTCCTACACGACTAGACAGCCTCCCAGGTTTACAAGAGTTTTCCTGAGCTGCTACATAACAACAATAGTCATCTTGCTCAAACTTTTCATAATCCTGCCCCCTGCTTCCCTCCACTGGGTTTATTTCATTTCTGGAGGTGCTAATGCTAACTCTAAAATCAGCCATGAGTAAAATACAGCAAATGTTCTGCTGTTGGCTGTAAGAGTGAACACAAAAGTCTTCATGCACTTCCAGCATCTTACGAACTAAAGACTCTATGGTTCACTTTTTTAAAATCTTTTTTAGGCGATCTCCCCACAACAATAGGAAAATCCTTAGCCGCATTAGCTGCAGAATGTGCTAACACCATTAGCTTTGATCGTATACCTGCAGGTCAGAGCTCATTGGGGTGTAATACTGAGAATCAGAAATGGTGGAAGCCTTAAGACAAATTAGATCTTGTCATTCATTTCGTGTCCACACTTAATGCATTTTAATATCGTCAGAGTCCCAATCAGGCTGTTCTCACTTACAGGTTTTTTCAGTTTTTGTTGTCAGATAACAGAAGAGTTTGAAATAGTGGCTGAAACGCAGCCCATTCAGACGATGTGGTAACTGGCCGTCACTTCAGAGGCATTTCCAGGCTCTGCACAGCTAAACTGCTGATTCTATAACCGCGATGTTGTCCGACAATCTCACCACACACAAGAGTTAAAAACAACAGCTGTGCAGGGAATTTAGCAATATTTCCATGTAAAGTGATCACTCAGAGAGGAACATTCTGGTCTCATCATTTCCGTCTGCATCAGCTGCCGTGTTTGTCAACCGTTTTGTTCCGTGTTGTAAATCACAGACGCAGAGAGAGTCTTCTTCCTGAAGACCTTCCTGTTTAGGACAAACCACAGATTGTACAGCCGAGGTAAAAGGAACCAGTGTTTTTGAGCTGAAACATTGAAAGACACACTGTAGGAACATGTGAAACGTTCATAAATTTGCAGAAAAGAGTCACAATATGGGACCTTTAAAGTATTCTTCCTGCATCTCTTTGACATTTTATAAACGTGTGCTCGGTTTAGAGTTGTCGGGCCTCGACGTGACCGTTGTACTCGGCAGAATCTGACCAGACAGTCGTCCCTGTTCGACAACCAATACCAGTCGACACACATGCAGACTACCTGCCTCCTGTCTCCGTCAGC